TCTTTAATACATATATTCTCAGAAAAATAATCCCAAGAAAAATGCCTTTATATCTAAGATCCTCTGAAATTCACATGAAGTGCATGTGTAGCTAGGGATGAAAATGGATAAAGTCAACACATCACTTCAACCCAAGAACATTCAGGTAATGCCAGAAGAACAGGGTCTCATTTGCTTAGGAAGATCAGATTTGCAAAGTGAGAAGCTTATACAACATGTACGAAACAAGCTACTAACCTACAAGCCTCATTTCTTTACCTAAAAGTTTCATGAAATGAAAGCACAGAGTGATTCACTCAGGGGGCCCAAGGGCTCCCTTGAAATACTGATATAGCAGCATAAATGGTTACTTTAAAGATGGAAATCTGTAGTGGTTTTGCACCAAAAACTAGTGGGCAAAAGGAAAACAATTTTTTTAAACAAGTAACAATGAATTGAAGTAAGCATCTACACTTTTGCCACAAATTATCTCTTCCTTAATTTTCATATTATTTTCCTAGTCTCTCCAAGCTCAAAATCTTGGACTCACTCTCATTTTAACTGCAAATTTTATGTCCTGTATCCATTCACCCTCCATAGATTGCCCCCTCCCCATTTTTTAATCAGGACATTGTTCCAAATCTGTTAGCATTCTCATCTGGGACTTCATGTATTGAATGACTGTGTGTGAGTGTGTGTGTGTGTGTGTGTGTGTGTGTGTGTGTGTGTGTGTGTGTGTGTTTACCATTTCCTAACTGGCCTTCTGAAAGTTCTCTCATCCTCAATTTATTGAGGCTATATTAATATGTTTCACATGCCAACTTCACTCCTAGCTCAAGGATATGCAGTGGCTCCCTGCCGCCTGCTGGATCATATCACATCCCTGCACTGTGTGTCCAAGGTCCCTATTTACTGTCCCTGGGTCACTTCTCAATAGAGGAGTCATGCAGTCCATAGAAAAGAGCCCAGCTTTTGTGTTGGAAGATATTAGTTGTAGTCCCTACTCTGACATTTACTTCTTATGAGGCACTAAATAAGTTCTTTCAATTCCCTGAGCTTCAGTAAACCCTCTTGAAAAAAAGGAGGGCAATAAAATCCATCTTGCTTGGTTGTTATGAGAATTCAACAGAATGCCCACCATGGTGCACTGGCACAGCTCATTCACATCTTTATTCCTTTGTCCATGTTAGTCCTAAGGCTAGAGTGTGATCCTCCTACTCCTAATGAAGTGTCAGCAAAACTGGAACAGTAACACAGGATCTAGATGAGACCAAGGGGCCTTTCTGGAAGACCCAACTTGCAACTTCTCTTGCATCTGTTTTTAAAAATAGAAACAAAAATCCTATTCCTGGAACTCTACATCCTACAAAAACAGTCCTGATTCACAATCTCATTTTCTCAAAATTCTTAATTTTAATTTATTTATGAAATCAACCAATATCAACCGAGTGCCTATCAAATGTCAGACACTGAGTAAGACATTAAATATATACCCTCGGTCTCACCCTACAGAGATTACTATTAATTATGGAAAACAGCCTATCTGTCACACATAGAAAGAGAAGGTGGTCTTGGTGATGATAGAAAATGAGCAGGGAACAGAGAGGTGGCCAATTTGAGGGCCATGGATAACTCCACACCAAAGAAGGGCATTTAAACTAAAATTTTTCTTCTAAAGAACAATAAACTGGGGGAAGTGGGGGCAGAAAGATCGCAACATGGGGATCAAGTTTCCGAGCAGAGAAATGGCCAGCACATGCTGCAACAGAAACCAGAAATTCTGTAATGGGGTTTGGTGTGGAGAGTGCAGAAGCATGAGAAGTATCAGTTATAGTGATTCTTTTGAGCCAGAAAGTGAACTTGGACCTCATCCCCAGAGCTTGGGAAAATAAAATGGGTTTTAATCCCAACATTTTAACCCACTGGGATTTGCACAACCATTAAACTTACACATGGTTTTGAAAGGCATGGTGGGAAATCTTGCATGCTGTGTCACTTTCTAAGTGTATAAAATGTGACATGAACAATGGCAGGTGACCTTTCTCAAGGAAGTCTGGGTGGTGCAATTAGAAACCCAGACATGTGGGGAAAGAAGACAGTGATGTGCACTGTGCATTGTTTACTGAGTAACAAAGACAACAAAGGATGCAGGTGAGAGGAGAGGCTGATGTGGTCCCCTCAGGCAGACCGGAGCATGGAGACAGAGGAACCTGGGGGATCACTGTCATTTCACCGCAGAACTGCTTCGTTTCTAGAGCTGTTCTCTTAGAACTCTACAGCCAGCAGAAGACAGCAGGCTTAATTGTGGTGTTTATCCTTATCCTAAAATGAACTCATTGGCATGGGCCAGCACCATGGCTTTAGGAATCTAAGGACCTGGGGGGAAAGCTTTCCTACACTTATAATTCCTACACTTACATGATGTGTAGGACTTGGAACAGCGTACACAATCTCAGAGTCTCAGCCCTCACAGCTGCCAGATGTGGTGATCACTGCTGCTCCTGAGGTGATTCTGAGGAACTATCAAGTGTTAACTCTGAGAGATATTCAGAAAATCTCTTGCAGAGATAACAGACCTTCTCTATAGCAGACCTTCTCTGACACAACCATTTCCTCTGAGCATCCAGCTACATCCGAAAGCACAAAAACAGGGAATATGGGAGGCAGAATTAGATGGCTGTTTGTTAGGCTTGGGTGCCTTTGGAGCAACTTTGTCAAATCTGAATTCTCTATGTGGTATAAAGTAAATAAATGTTTTGGCTTGAGGCTATGTGTTTGCTCTTATTTCACAGTTGATATTCACACAGATAACAGGAATATGACTACTAATTAAGTACTCGTCCACTGGGACCATTTTTCCCGCAACAAATACATAATTAAGATGTCAGAGAGAGTGGGTCTGTGTGTGTGTGTGTGTGTGTGTGTGTGTGTGTGTGTGTGTGTGAGAGAGAGAGAGAGAGAGAGAGAGAGAGAGGCAGAGACACAGACACAGACAGAATGAGAGTCTTTCTTCTCCCCAGTACTAAATCATAATTCATCACTTCCCTAACCATAAAAAAGCAAACTTATTTTCAAAATGAAGTAGCTAATCTAACTGTTTTCAAGCATCTCAACAGTGGGTTCTGCACTTGCATGAAAAATGTCAGGACGGAGCCTTCCTGTGTCTGAGGCTCTGCCCCTGTCTTCTCTCTACACTCTCACAACGCTGCTGCTCCCTGTAGAAGACCAAGATTCCTGAACACCTGACAGAGCGAAGGCAGAACTCCTGTAGAAGAAGCCAAAACTAGTGCCAAATGAGCCATGTCTGTAACTGCGTAGGATCAGAACTGCTTCATTTAAACTGGAAATCAGGGACAGTATCCAGAACATAAGTGCTGAATAACCTGGTTGAAAAGATTAATTTATTGCTAAAGTCAAGCTGTATTTACTTCTCACAGATGTTCCATGAGCCATCAACCTCCTTCAGAAATTCTACAAAGTCAGTCATGGTGCAGATGACAATCCCATGCCATAATTATCCAAAAACACAAACCTAAAATAATAACAAGAAAGAAAACTAACTTCAAGCCTCCCTGTAATAGAAAGCAAATTCATCATCTCAGGTTGCTTTAATTAGGGCAAAACAATTCTGTGCCAGATAACATGAAGATATATCCAGAAGAAGAGAAGAAGAAAGGAAGAGAAAGGAGACTGTGGCAGATGGCACGTTCTGCAAAGTGTCTCCTTCCATTGAACACCTACAGCTTTGGTAAAGTTATTAACACTCACAAAATCCTTCAAGAAGCATGTTTTTGTGGAACCCTACAAGGAGCTTTGTGCCATGGAACAGGAATACAGACAGCAGCTCCAGGAGACTGTGCTTAGTCCAAGGAACTGGACTGGAATTAAGTCCAATTTAAGCAAATATTGCCTTGGCTTGGATAATACAATTTTTATTTAGTTTATTTGTTTTTGTTTCTTTTCTGGAAATGCAAATTATTTTGACTAGTGGCCTATACAAATAAATTCACCAACTAAACTGTTGGCCCACAAATAATATGAAGCTCTTATTTCACATTTATCAAATCACATGTTCTATAACATGCACCTTGAGGGGTGGGCATGCACAAGTTATTTTAAAGGCACAGTGTCAAGTCAGTCAAGTTGCTCTGGCTTATGAGCAATTCTTAAGTAGTTTTCCCTTGAGTTATTAAAGAACCGTCATCACTGATCTCTATCCCACAGAGAGGTTCCAGCTCTCCCAAGATCAACTGTGGAAAAGACTAGCGACTCGATATTCAAGGACAGCATCATTTGAAAGTGTTTCCAGCCATGAAGATTGGAATACCATCTAACAATCACTTTGTTTCCAGTTCTTTTCCACAGAAAACTAGTTTGTGAAGCAGATAACAACAGTATATGCCTATGAAAGCATAAACTAGGCAACTATCTCATAGAGCATTGTCCATGCTTCAGTGATTTCATGCCCACATGCAAAAATGAACTCCAAGCACTAACACAGAGCTTGCCATTCCAAGCCAGTCCACCTAATAAGGAGGGCCAGAGAAAGGAAGGGGATGAAGGTAACAAAAGAGAGGTGGAAATAACTTCTCAGGACTTAATTCATACCCTTAATAAAAGAAGAAGCTGAATATCTTTTTAACAGAGACTTTAGCAAGGTAAATTTTTCATATTAATTGATCTCCACATAAATCTCTGAATTATTACAATCTCTCTTGTGGAGTAGTAATATTAATAGAACCTGAAAGTCTCCATTAGCAAGGATATAAACTTGGGACCCCCCTCCTTTCCTTCCTCCTCACCAAAAAGAGTACTCAACCAGAATGATTGTCTCTTCCATAATATATAATAAAATAACCCGCATTTCTCATGGACCAAAAATGGATTCTAGAACTTTTATATTTGCTGTGGCCCAAGTCCCAAAAATCTAAATTAACTTTGGCATGAGGGTCACCTGATATGTGATCTTTTATCCACTCTTTGGCAGAGAGGCTGGGACAGGAGGAGGAGAGGGGACTCACCATCTGATTGCTGTACCAGTACAGCGACGACCCCTTGAGCACCACCCAGAACTTTTTCCATTTGTTGCTTAGGAAAGTCCCCTTTTCCTTTTTCTTATACAGCCACCCTTGACAGTCAGCATGTCCCAGATCTTTACACGATATCCTCCTGCGACTCATCCTGAAAAGACCTGCAACAATTATACACAGAGGTGTTACCTTGATTCGTGTCACAAAGTGAAAGGCATCTTTAATTATTTACCTCCCTGGAGTTGGATTTTTCACGGGAGGAAACGCAACCCAAAAATTCACATGCCAGTGTTATTTTTTAAACATTCACTCTGTGCCTAGAAGGTATAAGATGTGGCAAAGAGGAAGTGAGCCTGACGTGCAAGGATCGGTCTACAGCTATTGGTGACCAAGAATTAATAGAAAGGATTAAAATCCCAAGACTGTGAAGCACATCCTTGCTGTCACTCGTCTCCTTTCAGCAATGCTAGCACTAGTTATGCAAGAGACGTGGAAGGGTTAAAATCCACCCAAAAACACAGCTACTTCCCGACTCAGTGCCAGTCTGTCTAAGCTCTGTTGGTATTGACACACCATGAGAGATTAAACCAAATGAACAGCATGCCGACATTTCTTAAAATCAATCCAAAAATAACCAAAAAATAATCTGTCACCCACCTCCTGATATTAACATTCAGACAGACAAAAATCTGATCCCAAAGAAGACAACCAGGAAGAAAAATACACACACACACACACACACACACACACACACACACACACACACACACGGAGGGGGATAAAGAAACAAAAGATAGCTGATTACCTTGAGTTTTCTTCCTCGGCTTCTGACGCAAGGGAACCTGCTGAAAATGCAGGAAGGAAAGAAAAGAGGAAATTTCTGATTGTGTTGTAACATTTGTAAAGAGAGAAGGAGGGAGGAGGTGGCAGTGTTTATGAGCGGGGTGGATTCTAAAAAAAACTCTCCAAGCAGAGCTAAAGGAGAGCTACTAGCTGAGGCACAAAATGTGCTAATTAGAATCAATATACATCGAGCTGAACCTGAAAAAAAAAAAAAAAGCAACAGAACATTTATCACTAATGTTTCCTGTTTCCACCCACAGACAGCTCACTCACTACTACTTTAGTTATGACAGCAGTGCTCACTGAAGTTTTTTTAAAAAATTATAAAATATATCCCCTTTTGCATTTTTTGTTTGAGAAGGAAAAATATAACCTGTTTTCATATAACGGCTAAATAATGGTGATTATTTAAGTAAACTGGGAGGATAACCGCCACAATCACAAAATATTACAGGTTCATGTTGAGCTAAGCTTCAGGTCTTGCTATCACAAAGGTTACACTTAAGCATTGAATTAAATATCCAAGGAAATAAATTCCAGATCTCCTTTGGTGGGATTTCAGGAACTTCGAATTTTCCTTGTCAAAAAATTCTTATTTGCAGCCAAATTTAAATGTCTTATTCTGTCTTTATCTCTGAATATTTCTCACATATTTTATGGAAGACAAATTAGTTGCCAACTGCTATTCTGTACTTGTTCTTTAAATCTTCAAATCAGACATAACACAACATATCCGAAATACATTTTTATTTACAACACATGATAAACAATTCGTAGGAAACCAGAAAATCAGCAAAAAGATAACCCACAAAATGCTTTCAAATGGCCATATATGTATGTATGCACATGGAGAGAAGATTTTAGCTTAAAGAAATTTCGTATTTTTCTACAACATCTAAGCAGAATTTATTCAAGTTTAAATCTGCATTTATATTAACAAGTACAGAAGTTGAAAAAACAGTTGAAAAGTAGCTCTAAAATTTAGTAGACCACTTATTACAACAATTTATGCTACTGTAGATGCATCTGGCTAGTATTCTACATCTCTAACTATTGATCGAATAGCCTTCATGTATGATCCTACTACCTGTTAAGTGGTAGAAATGTGATAAGATTTTAAAATCCAGAAGCTTGAGATTAATTCATGGCTATCATACTGTTTAGCTGTGTTACCCAGGAAAATATCACTCTGAACATACTTATTGCTTTAAAATCAAAATATATACAAGAAAGGCAATTGTATAGGTCTCATATAGATATGACATGATTTACTTGTGAAAAATGCTCTAAAATATACAAGTTTATATGATAATATGTGATACAATGTTTCATATCTATGAAACAAAAAAATACATATATTTTTAGGAAAAGTATTATGTGTGTTTTCATCAACAATGACCATTAAGTTATATTCCCTAGGGAATAGATAGGTTAGGAAATCCTTCCCTGCTCCCTTATTTTATGAAAGTCCTTTTTTCATGTGGAGGATTGATTAGTTTCTCAGGGATACATTTTATGCAAAAATAGTACATGTCAATCGTGGCATGCCACTTAAATCTAAGTCTGTTGTCACGGAAATGTCCTCTCTTTCAGCCGCACCTCCCATCTCCCATACTGCCAGCTTCTTGTTCAAAGATTCTTCACATTATAGCCTCCAGGCATCTTGTTTTCCTCCTTTCTTGGGGGTTGAACCCAGAGCCTTTGTACTAAGCTCAAACTGTTTCTACTGACCAGAAAGACTTCGTACAATAGAAATAACAAATTACAGCCCTTGCTTGTTTGGTTTTGAGACAGCATCTCATTAAGTCACTAAGTTGCCCAGACTGGGCTCAATATTAGGATCCTCCTGCCTCAGCCTCCCTGATCGGAGTATCTTTTTTGATATGCCAGTTATTTGAGGTGAATACAAGCCTGTTAGGATCTATTGACAAAATATTGTTGCCAAAATCTATATGTCATTTGAAGCTTAAACTTAGCTGAGAGCCAGGACTCAAGGCAAAAACATCTAAAGACAGATGAGGGGTACCAGATCTGGGAAATCTGGGATCCAAAAGTCCCCACAGGCAGCCATGGAAACAGCTAGGAATCAGGAGAACAGAGAATAAGGGAAGTTCCTGGCCCCAGAGGAGCAAGGTGAATTACATTATTTCAAGCAAAAAAGCATCTTTACAAAGATTGAGCAACTGAGAGGAAATCCCTATAGGATGGTTACAGAAACTGCAAGAGGGATAAACAGCGATATCAATTCCATGGCCCCAAAGGTACCAGCAGGGTTCCCTCTCCTCCACCCTTCTGTGGGTTCGGAGTGACCCCGGGGGGGCCTCTACCTCCAATAAACTTTAGATCTGCTTCCAGAGACAGCCCAATACAAAGTGTGTGCTCTGTCTCAATTTTACTCCAGACCAAGCCTTTTTTACTTTTTTAAAGAATACAAAATATTTTTTAAAAAACATTTTAAAAGATAGAAAATTTCACTAAACACTGTAATAGGAATTCAACAATGATGCTATCTTCCAACTAGTTGTTATGGCCAGATTCATGTAGTGGGGCTGGGGTGAGAAGTGGGAATCCAAAACTGGACAACGCAGGGCCTTAAGCAAGCACCCAGCGCAGCTTCTTTTCAAAAGCAGAGGGAGCATCTCAGACAGCGAAGCAGCCCTGCTCTGATGGCACTTCTAAATCAAACTATTAACTGCTCAAACTGTTTCCGCTGGCCAGAAAGACTTCATAAAACAGAAATAACAAATTACAAGGAGTTTCAGTTTCACTTCATGTGAGTTTGAAACTTATGCTGGTTTTTAGGAGAGAATGAAAACAATCTTCAAGAACGTCAGTGAGTGTAGGATCCACTTGCCTTCTCATAACAGGAAGTGGAACTCACGAACGCGGCAGTTTCAAGGCCTTCATGTGGTTCTTTTCACAAGGTGGTAGAGAACGAAAACGGCCGGTTGAACATTTTATCAGTTTTTCAAGAGAAGAATTATAAGGCTATCATCACAAATATTCAGACCTACAGTAACAAGATCTTTTCCCATACTATATTCCCTCAGTTTCAATGTAGTAGATAAAACTAAAGATGTATTCCTTTAAAAAAGATCTAAATATTGCCCTAGCTTAGAACTAAAATTTGGGCCACATTTCTCATAGAAAATATATATATACTTTTTACTGAACAGTGTATTTTTACCTTTTAAAAGATGGTTTGAAAATTTCACTTGGCTAATTACTCAAAAACACATAGAAAATATAGAAGAAATTTTGGTGTTCAATTGTGTGGTTATCACTCATGTTACAGATAATATGGATTTGTAATTAATAGACTAACCGTTCTTGCAATCATTATTAATCCTATGGCATATTAAAATTTAGAGCAAGATAGTTTGTTGGTTTGTCATTACAACAAACTTCATAACGATTCTTATTTTCAGAAAAAAATATGTCATGATATGCTGGAAAAATGGGCTCTTTTTTATGTATTTAGTACAGGGTATACAGGGTCTCACTATGTAGATCAGACTCCTAGTGATCCTCCTGTTTACAGCTTCCCAAACCCTGGGATTACAGGCACAAGTCACCACGCCCAGTCTCAGTTGCTGTCTCGGTGCTCCCTGGGGGCAGGCCCAGGGATCGATCCCCCAACCCCTGCATCTGCCAAAGCAGGAGCTTTATTAAATGAGTTCTTTGGTTGCAGGACTGGTATATATCCAAATTTCTGTGGTGTATTTCCTTATATCATTGGCAGATTAAGCTACAATATTTTAACAAACCATCAAAAATAAAACCCTACCTCTTACAAAATTTCTCACAAACACCTGATAATTTGCAAAAACACCTTCCCACTTAGAAAAGTAAATTCAGCTTTTCTAGAGGAATCACAAAGCTTTGAATTAGTAAAATTTTACCTATGAAAATATATTTCGAAACTTGCTTAATTTTTTTCAGAGGATCAGCCTGCCTAAATAATTCCTAATACATAAATACAAAACAAACATCTCCAGTAGAGAATAGTGGAAACTAATTGTAGAAGTCTAGAGTTTAGCTACAATTGCCAGGAGAATGTACAGAATGAGAGTGATAAAGTCCGAATGCTAAGGAAGACAGCGTGGAAGAGGGATGCAATGAAATGGAGCCTGCCCAGGAAGTTGGCCAGGAACAGCCAAAGACAAAAGCAGGAGAGTGACTTGTAGAGGTCTAGGAGAGATTCAGGACAAAGGTGGACTCTCACTATCAAATTCTGCAGATGGAAAGAAGAAAGAGGGAGCTCAGCAAAATTTAATTGTCCTATAGGGTTACAAATTCCAGTAGGTTGAGGGATGACTAGAAATTGGAGAAGTATATACAGTGTTACTGCTCTTTCGCAATCCTTACTGAAGGGGAGGGAGCATGACAGACAGTAGTCGGAGGGCTTAATGTCAAAGTACGGGGAATGTCATTTGCTCCCTTCAGAACCCACCTTTTATGCGTAACATCATTATCACTGTAAGATAGGGATGCACACATAGAACACAGTTTAACGCTGAAGTATTAAAATCTTCTACTATACTCATATTCTGAATTATTTAATATATTATTTTTCTTTTTTTCTTATTTTTGTATTTATTTTTTAACGGAATAGACTATAAATACAACTTTGTGTACTCTTTCATTTTCCATCTCTCATTCTCCAGATTACCCGAACCTGAATGGGATATTTATCATTTCCATATATTTTTAGTATCTTTAAACATTATGTTAATAGTATAAGCAATAGCATTAAAATAGACTAGCAATGGTCAATATTGCATCTTTGTCATTTTTTCACGTTAATGCATGTAGCCCTAGTTCATTTTCAACGTGGCAATGAATAAAAATGACACAATTTATCCACTTACCTGTGGGTGGACATTCACATTTTTTACAGTTCACACTATCACTAAAATGTTGCAAATAATAGCATTGTATAATTCACATTGTGCGTATATGCATATGTCTCTCCGGGCCAAGTATTTACTTGGGAGTACAT